TTCCCAGCTTCCGTCTCAAACCTACCCATGAATAGGTTCACTATAAATGGAGACAATGGGTTACCCATAGCCGTTCCTTCACGCTGTTCATAATATGAGCCATTATATTGAAAACAATTTTGATCCATGCAAAGCTTGGTGAGTTGAATGTATTCTTCAACAGCTTCATTTGCTAAGTTGTTCGGTTTCAGAAGATCCCTCAAACACTCTAGAGCTTGTGATATTGGGACGCTTGGAAATAAGGAACTCACATCGAACGATACCAATAATTCGCCTTCTCCTAATTTAATGTCTTTTATTTTCTCTATGAATTCTTGTGAGTTTTTAACACTCGCATCGGTTGGGCCGATCGGGAGATTTTCAAATTCTTTTGTCAACCATTTAGCGATATTATACGAAGGCGAATTAATTGCTGAGACTATTGGTCGCATCGATTTTCCAGGTTTGTGTATTTTTGGTAAACAATATATCTTTGGTACTGTGGGATTTGAAAGTTGTAGCCTCCTGTTTAAAATCGGTGTGATCAGTGTCTTGCATTTCTTCAATGTGGCTTTTACGTTAGCGGTCATCTTGGATAATGGATTTCGTGGTAATTTCTGATATGGACCATTTTCAATTAAGCTGTCGACTCTCTCAAAATAATTTTCTTTATTACCTTTGCCTGCTTTTAAATAAAAACAGTCCTTTTTCTTTCAATCTTTTGATAATTTTCTGCTCTTTTCTCGATGAAATGTGTGGCTCTTTGCCACACATTTATTAGTATCGTTCGATGTGAGTTCCTTATTTCACCAGGAGGCTTAGACAACGGAGAGATAACGCGCAACCCCTGGCCCCAACATCGCCTGAGGAAGTGAAGGACATCCTGAGACGTCTTGCCACTCGGAAAGCACCAGGCCCAGACAATATAACAAATCGAGCACTGAAAGTGCTCCATAACCAACATCATAAATGCTATACTCAGATTGCAATACTTCCCGTACCCGTTCAAAGAGGCAACGGTAATCCACATACCGAAGCCCAAGAAGAACCACTTGTTTCCAGCGAACCACCGGCCCGTTAGTTTACTGCCATCCGTGGCGGAGCGTGTTATCCTGAAGAGACTGGAAGAACAAACTAGAGAGTTAGGGATCCTTCCCGACGAACAATTCGGTTTTAGATCAGAACACTCAACAGAGCTACAAGTCCTGAGGGTAGTGGAATTTGCGACAGAAGGCTTCAACCTTGGCAAAGGATACAACACGGAGTCCACTCCACACAGACCGT